TCTTTCTAAATTTTTCCAATTTTGAACAAGAACATTTAGACACCGATCAACACTCATAGCAAAGGCAATAGTCTCGGTTAAGATGCATAATAGTCGCTCATGAAAGGGTAATAGTAGCCGCTCTCGCTGGTGTGATAATGACCAAAGAAACGGGGTTCATTTTTGGGCTTCGAACAGAACGAACATGTGTACTGAACGAACGAACATGTGTACTGAACATACGTTGTTGTGAACCAAAACAATGGCGAAAGCCAGAACGGAACATATCTTTAATAAGTGGAACAGACCATGCGTGGAGCTGTGTGGAGCTGTGACAAGACCAGAAGATGATGTTGAGGGGTGATGTTGTAGGACGAGAAGGTGGCGGCAGTGTGTGGAGTAGGACAAGACGGGGGGTAATAAAAAGGGTGTGTGTGGTTGTAAGTGAAATGCGCGGTTTGGAATCGAAGGTAGGGGTTTGTGATGAGGGCTTGATTTGGATGGCAATGGATACCTTGACGTGTGGTGATGGTTGGGTGAGTTTGATTGAAGCGTTTGATGCATGTCGAGATGGTGATGAACTGAGGGACGCAGATGGAGAGGAGGAGGAGGACTGGAGCGGTGAGTATGGGGATAGTGACGTCTGTCGTGAGGAGTTGAGTGATGGTCGTTTGGTAGAGTACAAAGCGTTGCGTGTGGAAGAGGCTGCGGTTGTCCGACGATTGATGGCATCGCGATGGTCTGGTGAGTGTAAGGTGTCACGTTACCACACTAATGTGATGGAATACCACGTGGTTGCGGCTCCTACGGGGTTTGAGAGCCATGAAAACCGTATCCGTGCGGGCGGTGTGGGACTGACCGATCTCGAATTTAAACCCTCGGAAGATGACGAAGATGACGGCCTGCCTCTGTGGGTCATGGGGAGCCCCGTCCCCTTCACTGACATCGAGACCTTTCTCAGACACCACCCGGTTATATCACCACTCGTTGCTCTAGACCTATGCGTTCAAATACTCGACGGTATAAGATCGGTCGAAAATCTCGGAATTAGATTTACACAATCTGGACTCAAGAATTGTGTCTTGTATCTAGAGAAATTGCTGTCCTGGGAACGCATCCCCAACAACTCCGTGTTCTCGGAAGTAGACCAGTCAGAGGGAACCGCCGACGCGGGAACCTCCGACGCGGGAACCGCCGAGGCGGGAACCGCCGAGGCGGGAGAGGTTGTGGAACTCCAAGAAGCCGACCGGCTTCGAAGACGTAACCAGATGTCCTGGGACCGGTTGTCACATTACGTTCGCAAATTCGAAGAAGACCGGGAAGCTACGCAACAGAAGGAAATAGGAGATCAGATGAACTCTATGGCTGCTCATACCTTGGAGCGTAGCAGTACGAAAGAGGATGAGAAGGAAAAGCAGAAACGGGAAGAGCGGGTGGAGCGTATTCGCCGGCATACTGAGAAAGGTTTAATCAAATGGATGTCCGAGCTCGCCTTACGCATTCCGTACTTCCCTGGCTTTCGACAAGTGGGTTTCTCATGGTCCCAGGGGGACTTGGTTGATGAACTTCGATCAGAACTACCCCGCTTAGACGTACGTAAACTGGGAACACCTGAATCGGATTGGAGGTTCGAAGTCAAGCTCAGGAACTTCCTAGCACCTGACGCGGTCAGTTCATACCTCAACGTGCACCTGGCATCACCACCCTCAAACGCTGACGGAATGATCCTCGTCAAACAGGTCATCCTAGCAGCAGCTACTCCCAAGCCCGATGAAACCGTGAAGGAAACCAGCTGTCGCAAAGATCTAAATCACTGGCTCAGTAGCGTCAAAAAGGACCAATCGTACCTAAAACTATTTATGACTCTAGCACAACTTATGGAAGTCTATTTCTGAGTCAACAATGACAAGGAGGACTTGACTTGATGTCCAGCGGTATCTGGCTTGCTCAAGTCAATCCACTCAAGTCAATCCACTTGAGTCAATCCACTCAAGTCAATTGCACATCCAGTTCAATTGCACATCCAGTTCAATTGCACATTGTTCGCACCTTGCGTCATCGGACTTACAGTCCCACGACATTGTTGCGCTTACATTAGGCCATATGGTCTTCGGCTAGTTATGGTCTTTGGCTAGTTATGGTCTTTGGCTAGTTATGGTCTTTGGCTTACGGTTTTTTTTAGGTACGGTTTTAGACTACCGGGAGTCGGAAGTACCGAGTGTGTTTGAACATCTAGCTAGTGGTTTGATTAGCTATCGCATGCAGGATCATGCTTGTTGATTGGGTGGGTGTTGGGCTGTTCTTTGGATCTTTCCTTAAGTGTTTTAATATGATGAAATAACATTGTCAGAACGAATTTTCTTTGGATGAAATCGTGTGTAATTCCGTTAACTCTAGTAAGGGTTTCAGGTGATAGTATTTCGCGTAG